CCCCAAACTTGTTTCTAGGTGATTGTACCTTAAAACTACTTTTTTTCATGCTTTCTGCTGCTGTGACCTGGGCATGAGGTTGCTGGTTTAGTGGTTTCACAGCGGATCTGATTAGCTCCAGCTCTGAGGAAAGCCTGCTGGGCTGAGCCTGTGGGTCACCTCGGGATAAATGCTCCTCTCCCTAAAAGGTTGCAAAGGCTCCGAAATGTGATTGTGGAGCACAAGATCCTTCTCAGTCACGCCACCGAGCTAATGGCAGGTGGATGCAGTCTGTCTCTCAAATCTCTCCGTGAATTGAAACTGGCACGTGAAACCCATGCTTCTGCTCCAGCTTTTCTCTCTGGCCTTCGCTTTTCAATCGTAATTAGATTCTGTGTGTTCAGTGGTTTTCTCCAGGTCAGATCTGCTTATCTTCTAGTGCTTAATTGCGCCAGGAAAAGGCAAATGCCTGGATGGGGCAGGCGTGCTCCATTCATCAAACCCTTCTAGGCTGTGTGGTATAATGCAATTGTTTAGGATATTTACCTAAGCTGGAGGGCTCTGATCTTCTAATTTAACGAGATTTGCTACGGGAACAGAAATAAAGGGGGCTTAGAGTAAAGCCTATTGGGAGGAAAGCATATAATGACTAATTCCGTCTGCACTTGCAGCCTTAGGTTTCACATCGGCTCTGGAAAGGAAGGGACGATGGTGTTTACCATCGGGCAGGAGCCTCAGGTCTTCAAAGCCAAAAATGGACAACTCACAGTGGTAAGGCCTTACCTAAGTACTGGGAATACGACTTGTGCTCTCTTTTGATTCTCAGCCCCTGCAGAGAGAGCAGCTAAGCTCTAGCAAGGGCCCTTTGCGTGAGGTCAGGGCTTGATTCCTCTCACAGAGCAGAGACTTACCCAGCCAGGATTACCTCTGTAAGGTAACGCAGAACAGACACGATGTTTGTACTTGATTTAACGACTCCTTCCTTTTCTTGTCTCAGGTGTCAACACAGGCAAGGTCTTGATGAGAAACAGGTCCTGGTCCTTGTCTTGGCTAGGAACAGAAAGGAGCCTGCAGGATGAGACCAACACTCGCATCTCCCCTGGAATCTTTGATGCCACAGGGCTGCTGTGATTTGAGAGTTTGCTTGCATCTTTTAGGCTCTTTTTTTTTTATAGTTTAAAACTATTCAACTATAGCTAAATAAATTCCATTTTGTTGCTGTAACATTCTGGTGGGCCTAGATGCTCATTACACAGTCCCACAGAAATTCTTAAATCCATAGTTGCAGTTCCACCCATAAAATGTCCATCTCTGCGCACTCAGTAAGAGCTGAGAGCTCTGACCGGTCACAAAGGATTAAGACAGAAGCAAAAAGGCTTCTCTAGCTCTACTGCGAGTCACAACTCACCAGAACTGCACCAAGAGCAGATTGATAACATTAACTCTGGTCTGAAAACACCTTTGCTCTCAGGCAGCCTGGCGAAGCCTTTAACCCCCGCGGCCCGTCCTTCGGCAGGGGGAGAGATGGTTCAATGCAGGGGTGGGGCTGGTGCTGATCTGTCTCTTGCTGCATCAGCATGTGAAGCTGCGAACATCGAAGTCTCAGGCACCTGCTTTCTTGCCTAGTCTGACCTGAGGGAAGATGTTTGATTTTAGCGATGATGCCCTGCGCATGGCGTGGTGGAGGCAAACCCGTAAACCACGACCAAACCCACCTGCTCTTCAAGAGGGATGCGCTGCCCTGGTACAACCCAGATCAGAAGAAACCAGGCTCCTGCTGCTGAGGACCCTTCATCTCTCTCCACAGAGCTGAGATTCAGGTTGTTGCAGAGCATGGGAGGCACCAGGCCCTCCCCTTGGGGTGCGCTGGGGTAGTGTTTACTCTGCTGCCTCATGTTGAGGCAACGTGGTGTAGCTCCTGCTCCAGCTTGCTTTGGCTAGCCTCAAAATCCGTGACTTTTTTTGCTGCTTTTAAATCTCGGGCTCTGCAGAGTCCTGGGAGCCAGGTCGCTGGCGTCTCTGCCGTGAGCGGTGCCAGGAGGTAAAACTAACAGCTTGGGGAAGGGTGATGTCTGGTGTTTCTTCCTGTTTCTTCCAGCTCCCTGGTGCGTGAGGGAAGAATGCTTCAAACAAGTAATAAAGTGACTCGCATATAAATATGAAATATTTTCTAGTTTATTGTGTTATTTTTTTTTTAAAAAAAGTACATATTGCAAACATCAACCACACATTTAATCCAGCTTAAGCTTTTTTTTTTTTTGTGTGCATAAGTATAAATTGGGAGGGAATGATTGTACAGAACAGATGAAATTGCTGCTCTTGTCCATGAAACGGAACAACTCCCTTACAACTACAAGGTTCTACCTACCCTTTGCCCTAAGGTAAGACTGGAGCTTGAAGCCTCCTCCAGGGCTCTAACGAGGCAGCACTAGATAATCTAAAGAGCTGCTTGTGACCAGGAGAGCTGCCCTGAACCCCACCTTCACCCGCAAGCAGCGGGCGCAAAACCGGTTACAGTAAAAAGGCTCAAGAGCTGAGAGCATTTGTGCAATGGCATTAACGACGTCTCTCTGCGCGGAGAGAGGACGAGTGGCCAGCAGTCAAGGATGGGCTAACGCACCAGCAGAACGTTTTTACCACACGACAGCAGCATGCAGAGGGTTAAGACAGGATTGTGTTAAGACAGAACCTGCCTATAAATGCAGCAGCACAACCGAAACTTGCTCAAAGTCTCCTGGAGTGACTTACTAAACCAATAGCTATATAAACTGCTGTACAAAGATTAAAAATAATCATCCCCTGGGAGATTTTTTTATTATTTTTTTTTTAAGAACTTAGTTTGCAAAACCTGGAAGGGGAAATCCTGAAGCCAGTTAAGAATCTATTTACAGAGAAGTTAATCACACAGCTGTGAGGCGCTCAGCACTGGTGTCCACACGTGTCACCTCCTGGAGCTGAACCTGCTCTTGCGCCGCAGGACAGGACAGGATTGGGGCTGGGCTGCTGGGGCCACCCCCTGCCCCGTGTGGGGAAAAGGAGGGAGCTCAGCCCCGCTGAGGATGAGGATGGTGAGGGAAGCAGCTCTCTAGCATCAAGGGAGCAAGCAGGGTTTGCTGCAGGACTATCAGCATATTCTACAGACGCTCCAAAACCCGTAACGAGCCCAGTAATCTGCCCGTGTCAAAGTACACGGTGCTGGACAAACTGGGCAGTTCAGGGAACTTTCTTTCCACACCCCTCCCCAGCTTATCACACAAGGAAGGGGAGAAGGGAGGGGCACAGAGGCCTTTGCAACAACCAGCCCGCACTCTGGACTGCCACAAACCTACACACATATGTAAGCTTAAAGCAACGTAAAACAGAGCCTGTAACTGCCAGGACTTGGCTGAAGCGGCTGCACCACAAGGGAACTGTTTACTGTTCAGCTCTTACTTCCAAATCAGCAGCTGAAGAAGAAAGAGGAGAGGAGACAGGTACAGCCACCCCACCTGCCACAGCCACCGGCTGTCTGTAACTTCAAAAAGTCTTTGGTTACTAGGAAGATGACCTCAGCCTGACTTTGAAATCTTTTTAGCTTTACTTGCTGATCCAGAATTGTACCGCTGAGCAAATGCTGAATGCTTTATTTCAGCCTCTACAGATGAACTATGCCTGATCTGGGATGTAACTGCTACGTGAAGCAGAAGCAGTGGAGTAACGCAGCTGGTGACGCCTTTGGTTTTTAAAACGTTAACGTCCCATTAAGAGCCCTGAGCCAGGGGTAGGAGTCCTTGCAGCAGGAACTTGAGCAAAAGCAAATAACCATGCCGCTGAGGAACAGGACCACAGAGCTGCTGCTCTGTACGACGCGTCCGACCGTTAAGGTCAATGCCAGATATTCCAGCTAAAAGGTCAAAAAACCCTCTAGAATAGACCACAGCCTCCCAAGGCGTCACTCTGCAAGTTTAGGACTTCCTCCATCGGGTTTCTCTCCCTCTCAGGATTTGTTACATCAACCGTTACTGCTGTGGCTCTGCTCATTATCCGTTATCCTCCAGTCCTACTGAATAATACACAACCTTCCACCAGAACTGCTACTTGACTCCACCATAGGCAACAAGAGACGAGGAGGTAGATAAAATGCTCATTTATAATAGAAAAGTAACTCTCGGAAAACCAGCGTACAGAGATCTTCTCTACACAACATTTCAGCTCTGCCCTTTCACACGCAGCTGCCGTTTCTGAAAAGACTTGGAATATGCTCAGGATAAAGTCAAACACGGAAAAACTGCCTCTGGGCCCCTGTCTGCTCCTCTTCCTTGTGGTACTCACATTGCCCTCGCTCAAAGCAAGACGATGCTGCTGTATCGGTTACAGACCCACAGCTGCAGGCCTCCTACCTGTGCCCGGCTGGCGGGGGGGTGTTTGAACCCGTGACGGGTACTGCTTTACCTGTAGTAAAGCAAGCCCAGCTTCCTGACCCACGATCTCACGGAAATAAACTCCCCAGCCAAGACGCGGGGTCAGACCGAAGCTCTAAGCTACCTGCTCACACCACCCGAAGGAAAAAGAATCGCTATTTGCCCCCAATCCTCTTGCTGGAGGAATTTTAACAGCTTCAACCTTTGGGCTGAAGGGATAAAGCAGCGGTGGGGCTGCACAGTTCAAGCTCCACTGAACCCTTCAAGAAGCAGGTCCTGAGAGCTGCAGGCAGCCCTAGCCAGCCCCCTCCTCACCACACACGACAGGAATCACGTCAGCGTGTGTCCCTTGTCCTTCAGGGAGTCAAGCTGGAGAAAGGGAGTTCTACGGCAGTTCTGCTGGGGTTAGATCACTGCATTTCTGCCCAGGAGACAGAGCCGACGAGTGCCTGGAGGGAAGGTGTATGGCTGACTGACTTTTTTTGTGTTTGTTTTGCTTTGCTTTTAAAGTGCAGGATAATTACTAAAGCCAAAGGAAGCCAGCCCTCTTCCTCTGTAGCCACAAAACAGCAACAAGAGTGCTAAAAATTCAGGGCCTTCCTCCAGATGCTCAACAGGTCCTTACAGTATCTATCATATGCCCGGTAACCTTATTTATTTTTCATCCTAGAACTACTGCATTTAAATACCCCGAATAACCTAGTTTGTTACAAAACAGAATTTACATACTTTACTGAACAGAAGGGAAACCTCCTGGTCCTCTGCTGCAGACACTCGAGAAGGGGAAGGGCAGCACCTTCCAGCCAGAGCTGCGCAGTCCGCGGCCATGGCTCGGCTCACTGATGCAGGTGGGCTCTGTCGTCTGGACGTTTAATGTGAATTCTTCGCACGCGCTCGATGCGATCTCGCTCCTCGTCTTCATCGAGGTGATGGGAGCGGCCGGCTGCCCCTCCCGTGGCTTCCAAGAGCGCGTTGTCAGGTCCCCTCCCGTCCTGGGACTCGTACAGCAGAATGTTCAGCGTCTCCTCGTAAATGCGGGCTTCCGGGAACTCCACCTGCCCACCCGAGAAAGAGAAAGTCACTCGTACCTATTGCCAGTCGCTGCAGGCCCCAGGTTACCTCATTTCTAACTCGTGTACCTTTCTGGTTTTAAAATTTCTTCACTGCTCCCTGGCCACAGAAATCCCTTCTATCACAATCGCTTCTACTATTTCCTTTCAGTTTGGAGATCCAGCAACTTTATTTTTTATTTTTTGTCATTCCCAAACCAGCCTTCCTGCAGGGCAGACTCAAGATTTCTCCTAGGAAAGGCAAGAGGGCACAGGGAAGACATGCCATGGCTCACCAGGCGCTTACACATGGACATAAACCAGACTTGGTTAAATGTGCAAGTTTTTCTAAAGGTAAAGGGGTGGACTCAACTTGCTTTACTCAATAATTGTAGCTTTTAATGTTGCACCTCTGTGGGCTCATAAGGAATTCAAGCAACTGGGGTCAGTTTGTATATCAGTTTGGGGAGTAATCTGCAGAAATGAGTTGTGCTTGAAAGGACTTGATCCTTCCACGAAACAAACCCCTTAATTCCAGTTTGATCGACTTGATCTGATAATTTGATTGACATCACAACTGCCCTGTGTGCCGTGCCACAGCCCAGCAGCTCCCGCCCTAACGAGCCCGCAGCTCTCCCGTGCTGCTCCCACTCTGACTGGCACTGATTATTCTACAGAGATGCTCAACAATGAAAGGAGTGTTCAAAACGGCCCAGATGTCAGGATGCCAGTCTGACAGCAGTCAGGCCTGTTGCTGGAAGCATTCTGGGCGTTTGCTCCTACCTTCGTCTGTTTTTTCTCAGTAGCGTAAACAATGGATGTGCAACAGACTTCGGCGATTTTCCTCCCCTGCCCGTAAAAAGACCAGCAGCAGATCTCGTCTCCGATCACGTCTTTGATAAAAAGCACTCTCCCGTTAAACCTCAGGGACAGCTTGTCAAACAGCTCGATGTTCTTCAGCATGTTGTCGTCGGAGTTGCTGCGAGAGAAGGAGGCGGGCAGGGGTCACGGCAGGGGAATGTGGGCAGCTCACGTGACAGGGGTCAGACAGCAAACATTTCCAGGTACATGAAGTTTCCTTTGACTTACTGTGTCTCTACCAAAAGAATTATCTATATCTGGTATCCAGGGCTGTGGGGGATAACTCGATTTGATTACTTCAAGCAGGAAAACCTGCTGCTGAAGAAGCAGTAACACGACAGCAACAATCCTGTGAATAATCCTGCCCGCAGCTGTTTCATTTGTGTACAGGATCGCCCAAATAAAACCATTCCTGAGCTCGAGATCAGCACCAGGTGGATGGAAAGAGCACTGTGTCATATAAACATGTCATATAAACATGAGGAAAGGAGGGACAACGTCCCAGACTTAATTTTACCGTTTATTGAGGGCACTGCACCATAGAAAGCTTCCTGCATTCAACTGATGGGCTACAGCCCACAGGGAATGCCGGCCAGCAGCTGGCCAGGAGTCTCTGTCAGCTGCACCTATGAGTTAGAGGAGCTCCTCTGGAACAGGAGTAGCACAAACCGAGCCTTCCAGTGACAACTTGAGTTTGAAATTAATTGGGAAAAAGATGCGTCCCAACACCAATCTCTCATTGGTGCCTAGGGAAGAAAAAGCAAATGTTCATTGCACATTTCAGTCTATGAAAAACTTCAAAGAAGCCCGGCCGAAGCCATTTACCTGGTGTAGGAATATTTGTTGTTGCTTCTGTTGTACAGCAATTTCACTGCTGGCTGTAAAAAATAAACCACAGATGAGGCACAGGAAGCGCAGTAAGAGCTGGAAGCCCAGCTCAGCCCTAGAGCCCAGAGCACACAAACCGCAAAACAACACAACCCCCTCCCAGACCCAAACCCGGTGGGATTTTGTCGTTGTCGCCACCGTTGTTACTGCGAAGGGGGCTGCAACCCCTCCCAAGGCACTGCACAGCCTCGCCTCTCTTACCTTGTTAGAAGTGGCTATCAGTTTTTGCTCTTCTTTGGAAGACGTGATGACCGGTACCTTGCAGAACGGTTCATACGCATCTTTGTTCTGCTGAAACAAGAATCCAAAACACCAGCTGAATGTAAGCAGGCCTCAGGGCACGCTCGTTAACCAGGAAGGTCCTGCCACAGAGCAGAGATGTTCGTTTCTGCTCTCTACCACCCTGCAAACGCAGGGGCTGAATGTTTTTTACCTATTTGAATGGCAGGATCTGTGACGTGGCTTCACTCAAACACCAGTAAAGGTGGCTCAAAACCAAAGCTGAGCACCTTGGAGGAAATCAAAGAACAAATCAGGGCCCTCAGCAGCCCGTGGCTACAAGAAGCCGCTCTGGTCAGGCCAAAGGACTTGCCCCATTCTGGTCGATGCTGGAAGTATTAATTTTTGTCACAGAGCTCGTGCTGATGACGGATCATTTTGCCACGTACGATGCTGATACCAGCAGAGAACCCTGCTGAGGAGCTGGACTGCTGCTCCTTGCACACTCCCAGGGGTCACCGGAGGAAAACTGAGCGACCGTGTACCCCTCACTGTAACTGGGCAGTACAACATCTTGAGAATAACTCTGTACCTTTTCCTTGATGTGACCAGACCGGAGCAGATCAATGCCATGATATATTTTGATTTCATCCTAGCCTCAAAAAAGCGCCGAGTGGAGGCCGACAGAAAATCGTGCTCTGCCCAGATGCTGCTTCCAACCCTGAGCAGCCTCTTGACCCGTTCCAGCCAGAGCAACCCTGCTCCTCCTCAGCTCCGCGACCTACCTGCAAGGCTGCTTGGCACTCGTCCACCAGCCCCTGGACCAGGTAGTACTTCGCTTCAGCCAGCAGCTCTTCTATCTCCCTGCGGCTCTCGGGGAGCGGCACGGCCCCGTCACGCAGGTAGTTCAGTATTGTCCCAAAATGTTTGCCGCAGCGGTCGATCAGGATCCAGCCTAGGGACGGAAGAAGAGCACGGTACAGCACAAGCAGAAGCAAATGTGGCAAAAGGCCGTTGTAGCGAGCAGGTTCCTGCCAAGACAGTAACTCTGGTTCTCTGGTTGAGCCGGCACACAGAGCAGAAGGAATCATGGGGAATTTATTGGCTCCTTCTGTGTTTGAAGCACAGAGTACGTGGGAGTAAGGTAGGAAGCTCGTTTGTTTCTCATAGTCCCTCAGTTATTGAGAAACGATGAACTGAAACGGAGGAGTGAAGACTTCTAGTTCTCAAAACAACCAGCTCAATTCTCCCTCTACTCCCGAAGCCCTGACGCGTTATTTCCTTGCCTTCTATCTCACAGCCCTGTTACACGCACGCACGGCTGTTCCTCACACAGCTGACTAGGGCCAGCAAGATGGGATTAGAGGATGCACGCTTCAGCTCTGGCTGCCAGCCCTGTGCCTGAATCAAGCCGGACCCTGAGAAACAAGAGGCAATGCTGAGGCTCGAGTTTCCATAAATGAACAGACGGCCACTCTTACGGGCTGAAGCTCAGGAATGCAGCGAGGAAACGCTTGTGGGGAAGGAGTCATATTTTGGACAAATAAGGAAAGTAGGTTAAAGCAGACCCTTATGTTCTGCATGAATGGAATTACTAGTAAAGTCTGAACATTTGGTTCAATCTGGAACGGGAACACAGCCCTTTCGCGCTCTTCTGCAGAAAACCAAGATGCTCTCCAGCAGTTTAGCGCAGGCCTTCCACGGCCCTCGTTACCCGGCTGTCTACACAAAGCACAACGTGTGCTCCCAACTGTCATTTTACAGACTGTAGTAACGAACGAGAAAGCTGGAGGCAGGAGAACCAGAGTCAGAGAGATCAAAGAGCAGAAAGACTGATCCAGGCTAATGAATACAGCACACCTAATCCAACTAGAGCAGAAAAAAAACCCATTTGCCGATGCAGAAGGACGCAAAATGACATCTCTCATTTCAAAGAGGGAGCACAAGGACATCCATATTCCACAAATGCAGCTGTTGACAGAGTTTACTAGAGCACCCCAACACGTAGGGAGGCAAAGGGTGGGCTGAGAGCAGAATTACAACCCCCAAATTCTTCGTCACCATCTCCGCTGCGACTCCCACTGCAGGCTGCAAAAACCTGCCACAACTTTTATGTTTACAGATGGTGAGGCCAAAGCAGAATTGCTCATTTTCATGAGGGACAGGAGAACATATTTCAAGCAGGATTGCAAAACACAAGTGACTGCTAAAAAAGCTCAGCCACCCTTCTGTTTGAACCAAACAGCCAAGTGTGCGGCCGAAGCAAGATGACTCACGGGAAAGCGACGCTGCTGCCGCTCCGTCACAGCTGTGCAGAGCTGTTTCAGCTGGAGCTTTTTAAAGCATTTTTCTTTAGTTGCAGTGTTACTAGAATGTCCCATGATCCATTTACTGAGGTAGGAATACCTCATCCATGAACTGTATGTGAAAGCGCTTGACTTTTAGGAAATCAATCTGTTGTCTTACAAGAAGTCTCAGGAACAAACGCTCTGACTGAACCAGACTCCTTTTTCTGACCAAGCCTTGACAGATGAAATTGCAGCCTGACACCAAAGACTGCCTGATGCTCAACAGTCTTATCAGCAGCTGAGACAAAAACACGAGTCTCAATCAACTGCTTAACAGCCGTGGGGGATGCAGACAAGAAAATTGGAAACGGATGTACCTGGAAAATTCACATCCTTCTATCTGCTCATTACCATAAAAATAAAACTTTCAAAACACGCCCAATTGCTACAGTTCGTGACCAATTTCTAAGCCGAAAATAATCATCCACCACCCACAGCCAGAGTGTTCCAGCCTTTTCTCCCACCCAGCAGCACGTTGCAACTGTGAAGCTTGGAGAAAGAGCTGGGGAGATGCTGCTGGGGTCAGAAGAATGCACGGAAACAAAGAGGAGGACCCCTCGTGCTGCATTCCACAGGCTGTTTAAAAACTTGACTCTTTCCAGTTTCTCTGCAAGCCTGGCTTCTCCTCCCAAGAAAGGCTTTGTTCAGTGCCAGAGAGACTGGGTGTGACCAATCAGCAGCATATTGAAGAATTTCAGATCGAGAGGGTTTCCTTTCGCAGCTCTAAGGCTATTGTTCCAGTTCCTAGCATCGAGGGAAGATAAAGCAAGAACTGCAGCCCTGGGAGTGTCTCGCAACACTCAGGAAGTATCAAATTCCTATAAACCCACAAGCTGGCTAAATGGAACCACGCTGTGGGATTCACAGCAAAATCAGCTCGCCGTTTTATGTCTCGGGCACGATATTTTAGCAGGTTCAGCTCTGGTTACCCTCGCGTTAGCAGCAACGCCGCCGGAACCTGCACTTGCGGGGACTCAGCGCCTCGGGAACGCGACATTCCAGCCCTCCTGCGGTACCTGCCCAGGGCACCCAGAGGAAGTGCCAAGACCACGGCAACACGACCTTCTAAAATTAATTTGGACTTTCCAATCCATTTCCAAAGTGAAGGACTTGGGAAGTCTCCAATTTTGCGAAACGCAGAGCAGCTTTAGGGAGAGACAGGAGGATGCTTTTGCTACACATCTGTGCTATAATATTCATTCAAATGTAAATGTTCTGCAAGAGTCTCAGCAGCAGATAGAAAAACCCCAACATATGTGGTAAGGAAGTGAAGCATTTGAGTGCTGCTCCTTTAGACGACCGTATTTTGACATCCTGCACATTCTTTCTTTCCAGACATTTAAACATGGAGAGATACACTTGCCAGCTCTCTCCTGTCAGTAACACCCTAGCAAATTCTCTGAAAATTTGCAACTGGTTCTATTTTTGTGAAGCAAACAACAACTACTCTCACAAGAAAATTGCTTCACTTAAAAAAAATCAGCTTTTGGCTCACAACCCCGCTCCAACATTCAGAGCAAATGTTCTATTTGTATTTGAGGTAATGAAACAAGATGAGGGAACTGCCTTTTGAGCTTCAAAATAAATCCGCCAGTCCTGGCTCATAGTTTCTTAATCACCAACCCCACCATTTTCCATATGCTTATAGTGCTTTAGAATTAGTATTTCAAAAGAAAAGGACAGCCCGAGCTATCTGGGCCTGACAGGAGCGTCAGGATTTCTTCCTGTCCTTTTAGACAAGTCACATGTGCCTTTCGTTCCACGTCTTTTTCCTGCTGGATAAGCCACGAGTTTTAACACTAACGAAAGGCAGAATCATCTGCGTCTGTGATTAATGTTCTTCTCCATTCTCTAACGTTTTTCTCCAGCCCCTTCTGACCTATTCCCACCGGCGAGGGAGGCAGCGGGCGTGCGGGGAGCAACCCCTCACCTTCGCTGTCGGTGAGCACTTCCATCCGGCCGCTGAACATGGCCTTGAGCATGGTGTCCTGCTTGGTCAGCGTCTGCATGGTGGTGTAGTAGAGGGCGCCGCCGATGTTCAGTTTCACATACTTGGAGCTCGGGCTAGTCCCTTTGAAGGAGGTGGTGCGAGTCGCAGCCGCCGGCACCGCTGAGCTCACCACGCTTTCTCCTGACATCTCTTCCTACAAGCAAGGAGCGAGCGGTTAAGACGTGCGGCTCCACCGCCCGACACCCCCAGCTCGGCGTCACCCCCTGTTAGCAGGCACAGAGGCAGTCACAGGTGTGCTGGGCACTGCCAGCCTCGGCTCCTCTCAGCCTTTTTGTAACGTTCTCAAACATTTTAAACATTTAACTTCATTTCCTTTCTAAAAGTGACATAAACCAGATAAAGAACATAGAACGACTCGGCCAGCAAAGAAGGCCGAGCGGTGTTTCACGCTGCAAAAGCCAATAGTTTCCTATGAAAACTGCGTTCCCTGCTTTCACAATTTCTAAAGCTTAAGTTCCTGCTTCCTGAATAATCTGGTATGTTATTGGGCAATTCCCAACACACAGAGCCTGAGCGGACAACTCCCACGTGTTAAAATGCCGACTATCCACTGATTTTCTGGAGGCTTTTTTTTTTTCCTTAAAGCTTTACAGAGAGCACACACATCTTCCCGCTCCCTTCCCTGCCCTCCCAGGCTTCTCAGCACACCCAAACCCAGTGGCCCACGTCCCCCACGGCCTCTGCCCACAGTCCCCACACAAAGGGGGCTCCGCTCAGCTAAGGAGGTCACACGCTGTAACGGGAACTTGTTAGCTTAGAACTCGCTAGCTTAGCACCACAAATGCTCTGAGAGCCGCTAATGGACAAATCCTTAATCAAGCTGCGGCCCCGTGGTTAACTGTTTTGTCTCACAACGTGACAGGATGGGATGATTAACGCCCCACCGCCTCAAGCAGACCCAGTTCCTACAACCTCAGAGCCCGCTGGCTGATGACTGTCCTTTCTTCCTCGGCTGTTGTGAAAAGCAGAACTGTCAGATGGCAAATCCAGACCAGAGCGGCAGCTACGTGCCCACATGTCACAGGCGAGAAAGTGGGATGGGCAGAGACACCCAGAGCCCTGTTCCCTCTTAGCAAAGCTCTCCCGGGAGCAAAGGTGCAGCCCCAGCCCCACGCTCAGGCTCCCTCCCGCACCCAGAC